ACAGTATAAGATAGTACGTAGAGGAAAGTTGCTTAAATTGATGTCTAACATCCGCACAAAGAAAATAGGGCAGCCATGAAAAATTCTGGCGATAAATCAAATTGAAAAATAAGCAAAATAACCGAAAAAATTAGGCATGACGGTTAGTGATAGGAACGTCATAAATTCTCTATTCAAGTTTCAACAACTTTGAAAAACAACAAAATAGAAATTAAATAGAATTAAGAATGAAATAAAGTAGTTTCAAATAATATAAATAATTATTCAGAAATCGTGAGATGCGGTCTGGTGTGATGTAGGTTTTTCGAAAAACATTTTCTTTATCGTGCCAACGTTTCGATCTTTATTGAGATCATCTTCAGGGCCTGGGACCAACACATTGTTTCCCTTCGTCGGCTCTTTTCACCTCAAAGAAGCCGACGCCTTATACAAAAATGTCTTTTCTATACCGACTTCCTTCCCCACCCCTTCAAAATCCGTTGTATATAAACATAAAACAGCGAAATCTCACTGGCACTGTCAACACGACACGCAAGAATGGCACAATTACACAAAAGACAAACACTTTGAGTGAGTAGAAATATTTTGATTGAATATAAAAATTATATTTTGCATTGTATAAATTCACTTTTCCACATCCTAAATGTATTTGTTAAATGTAATCAATGTTTGTAAATCCCAGGCACTGAAGATGGTCTAAATAAAGATCGAAACGTTGGCACGATAAAGAAAATGTTTTTCTGAAACCTACATCTCACCTGACCGCATTTCACGATTTCTGAATAATTATCGATTAACGGCCACTAATCACCACACACAATATAAATAATTCTATACTTCAGTATGTTTCCCTGTGAAGCTTTGTACCAGTTTTTTCGTCCTATATTTTACCCCGTATTTACGTGATAGTGTATATTCAATTTTTTAATGTCATTATAAAGAGTGGATTTTGTCGACTTTTTTCAATGGTTTCTTAATTGTGTTTGTCGTCTTTAGTGCAAATACTTTTCTTATTCTTTTCAATACAAAGGATAGTTTATACTTTTCTTACCAAAATGGATTAATATTTGGTCATTTTATAACTGGTTTTCAGGTTATCGTTTTGTTTCTGGGTTTGTGTTTTGTTTACTTGTTTATTGATTGTCTCTGTATTGTTTCCTTGCCATATGCTCGGGTTTTATGGAATATAGTTCTTAGTACTTCATTCTCATTTTGTTTTGGCATGTGGTTTGAGCCAGTTCTTATAATGTTGTATGTTTCTGGTATATTTCTGACTGGAGTTTTTGTTAATTTTTTTCGATTCCTATATGTTTTTTTGGATGATGTTGAGGTCCATTATTATTTCTGGGTTGTTTACACTTTTGAATTATTCTTGAAACTTTTCTTAAAATACATCTCCGAATCCGGTGATTTAAAATGCATACATATCCGGGAGAAGTTTGATAATAGAATACACAATAAATTCGATATTGAAAATATTTCGCTCTTCATCATCTACCTCCAAAATTCCTTTAAAATTGATTATAAAGAATTTTACCATTTGGATTTGGAATGCACTACTTTTGTCAACATATTTTGTCTATTTCCATAATATACGATTTTTTGTCCAAATAAAAACCAATAGTGAAGAGTTGTTTATCACGGTCTCTCAGGAAATCAAGTTTTTTTAGTTTCCTACTTTAAAATTATAGAAAAAACAATGTTAGAATACATGGTAGTTTATTTTATGGCTTTACAATAAAAATAACTATATTGATAGTACTGCCTTGCCAGGATGTAAAACATCTATTGTTTGTCCTCTTTAAAATACATCTGCGAATATCTCACAAACATCACATGATGAAACTTAGCACAATCATTGATCATTTGTGCCCTATTCCACAGTGATTTGGGATTTCGGTTCAGAAACGCCTGCCTCCTGGCTTCTAACTTATAACTCACTTAATCCCGGGATACCGTGGCTTTAAATCATTATTCAATGATTGAATAAAGTTATATTTAAACAGAAATTATATATATCTATGTAATGAAGATGGTGAATTGCCGAAATCTGCCTGAAAGACTAAAATAACAAGAATATAAAGAGGAATAGGATCAGAATAGAGCACAAATCACCCCGCAGAGCACATAGAAAAAATTATAATTAAAAAAAAAATGTTAAACCGAAATCCCCCCATGTAGGGTTGAATCAAGTCCTCTTCGACTTTCGATTGTCGATTCGAAGATCCAATCAGTTTCTTTAGAAAGTATTATAATACATTAAAACAGTACGTTAAAACATACAACTAAATCATTATTGTTCCAAAGATCACCGAAATGCACACAACTTGGACACCTTTATTTTGAATAAAACCCCGTAATTTATGAAAATTTGTATATATACTGTATAAATATTTATTTAGACATTCCAATTAGTTGTGCAAGTAAATTCAACAAAGCAAGGAAAAATTCTAAAATTAAAAAAATCACCAAAATGAACAAAGGGGAATTTTTAATAAATATATCTCTATATTCATAAAAACTTAGCAAACTCCACGAAGAGAAAGATATATTTATGAACAAAGTACAAGAAGGAAAGAAAAACAAACACGTTTATGCAGTGTAAACAATTATAAGTAGCACTTTAGTTTTTATAATGAACAATGGCATGGTTTATTTAAACAGTCTGCCTTGAGAAATCTGTACCCATTTTCAAAATATTTTGCTTTTTTTATGATATATTTTATAAAAGAAATATTATTCTACTGCCTTATTCTCACTTAGCCCACTGCTATTAATATTGGTCTATTGTGTCTCTTTTATTATCTTAAGCTATTTGTTAAGGTTTTTCCAGATCCGAAAGATTTGTTAAGGGATACCGAATGTATTGCTTCCCGCTTTGGACTTTTCTCTAGTAGGAGTAGAAATATCTACTTGCAAGCCTTCGCACAGAACAGGTTCTGCTGTTTCTTCTTTTTCCTTGCATATTTGCTTAAGCTTCCTGTTCCGAGTTTATGGTTCCATAAGCAGCCCTACTCTAGTCCTAACCCGTCCTGGATTTGTTAGTTCTGCTGTTAGTTTCTGGGATGGTAGGTAGTGAACTTTTTGCATACCTCTATACGAGAATACTTTCCCATTAACACAAAGATTTATGCTTAATTCGTTGTTTGAAGGATATACGTTTTTGGTATGCCGCAAAAGACCAAGGCCGAAATGCGGTCCTGATCGAAATTTCTTTGTCCAATTTATAGTCCTTCTTATTACCGCTTTCACCTGTACGCCCTGTTACCCAAACACGGGGAAATTTGATGTTGTACTCAATGTTTGGCAAGGTCTTGATCAGAATGATGATACGGTCCGCGATGGCCAGTGGTTAGGCTTTTCCGACTCGTATGCCACGTCCTGGGTTCAAATCCCGCATTTGGTTTGACCCCTCACCAACGGGACGTTAAGCCCCCCCACCAAGGTATATATATATTTATTTATATATTTAGATAGATAGATAAATAGATAGATAGATAAATAGATAGATAGATAGATAGATAGATAGATAGATAGATAGATAGATAGATAGATAGAGAGAGAGNGAGAGAGAGAGAGAGAGAGAGAGAGAGAGAATGACAGACAGACAGAGAGTGAGTAGAAGAGAATTAGCGATATGATATTTTAGTGTTCTCAGCGCAAATGCAATAATTTTATTTTTAAACGGCGCAGCTATTATGCTAAGCCCACATGACTGGTAGGTCTTTCAACATAACGCACTGTGATCCGTGAAGTGTAAGCAATAATAAAGCCAAAATCATTATAACTCAATCCTTCTCTCTTCATACAGAATTACTTCTTTCAATTAATTAATCTTTTTATGTAATGTTTTTGGTCGAATGAAAAAGTTAGTGCCAGGAGGGGGATTCGAACCCACGACCTTCGACTAAATACGGCGATGCTCTACCACTTGAGCTATCGCGACATCCTCGAGATCTTAGAGCCATCAGACTTAGTCGGCACTAACTAGGCTTCCCAGTTTGGTCTATCCGGTATTTTAATTTAAAATTGCTTATCAAATCTGAATTTTGAAATCAAGGTGTCTATAGAACCTTGTCTACAGTAAGTTCCTACAGAACCTTTAATTGCTTCTTTTAACGCGGTTAGGCTATTGGAGCCAGTGAATTTGACAAAATACTAATAGGAAAATGTGTCTATGTTTGATATGTTTAGATTATATACCAAACATTTGACATTGGAATCACAGATTCCACCTTTAGAAATAAGCATGAAAATTAAGAAGGGAATCGAAGAAAAAATGGGATGTTCAGCCCAGAGTCCAGGGCGTGTATAAAAAGGGCTACCAACTGCATAAGGTATGGATCAACTCTCGTGTGTAACATATCACTAAAAAATACACCTTGTCCTTTTTCTCTAGCCTCTTGTCCATCTTCCTTGCCAGGGAACCTGAATATTAGTATATTCCCTCCGGTCGAGTACCTACCCATCCTTGCTGTCTACGGACGTCGGACCGTTTTTCTCTTTCGTTAGGAACTCCTCGCCTTATTGCACTTCTAGCGATCTTGTATATTTCCTCCGATCAAGTAACACCTTACATTCCTTTCTCTGTTTATAATGTCCTCTTTTCTCCCCTGAACACTTTCTTTCCTCCGGACTCGCTCCGTTCCCATTGTCGCTCCCTTGGTACCCAGGTCATCTCACAGCCATGGACGATTGGGCAACCTACCCCTTCAACACCTCCATTTTGTTGTTCTAGAAATGAAAGCAAGAGCAACTGGTGGACACATACAAGCATCAACATCAAAACGGCAGAAGGAAAGATGCCTGAAGTCACATAATAAAAGGAATCAATTTTTCTTATCCTGTGTACAATAAATTGACTAAAGAAGACAAAATCTAGAGAAAAAAAAATGTTTTACAATTCAAACTTGTTGCTGGACTAGAACGTATTATACCAACAAAAGTTTGCCGTTTGAATTTTTTATGTATGCTTTGCTAATAATGTCATTCTGTTTCAGAAAATGGACGTAGAAAAAACCTAACTTTTTTGAAGCCAACGTAAGTACAATTCAACATTTTCCTTAAAAAAACAAAAAAGATTAAAACTTTGTTGATGTTTGTGTATACTGTAGCTTTCTGCGATAACAATTATCGACGAAGCTCTGTAATCTTGTTGCCCTTAACTTTGAAATTTATATCGCGCATAGAGCACAACTGTCAGGACACACATCAGACTTGCGGATATTGGCCCAAGACCAAAAGTCGTTTGAAAACAAAACAACGGTAATATGTTGGCCCATATATGATCATCGGTGATCACTATGCCAAAAATAAGCCCGGATTCAGGTTGTTTAAATTTAAATCAATTTTACGGAATCATTTTTTTATGGCATTATTGCGCATCACTTACAACTAAAAAAATTTCTGCCTTAATTTGCCAATGGGGTAGAAAAAAGAAAAAAGCGAAGATGATTAGATTATTTTTGGGGAAAAAATTGTTTAAGTCAACGTAGCAACCGACAGTCTGTTTATAGGGCAGGGGGTTTCCGCCCTTGGATCCCTGTAGGGTACAAATTTAGAAATCACTTGCTACGGCACTCATATGACCCCATAATAGTAGTAACATGAATATTAGTAGTAGGAATGTTAGTACGTAATAGTGGTAGGAAAGGGGAATGTTAAATATGTTAAATGGAAAGTACATAATTAGCACATAACATAACCAACGAGTTGTGCGTAGACAAGTCTCTCTATTTGAAGCCTATAATTCTGGATCTAAATCCACAAAAGATTTTCCCCTAAAAAATTAAGAAAGATCTCGTAGCTACCAAATTCAGTTCATTGCACACGCAAACAAACGGATGATTTTTGAGCAGTAGATCAGAAAGTCCAGATACTTATTTACGTAATTAAGAGAGAGCTTGAATGAAAATACGTTTTTGGGACCGGAGAACCTCGTATGAATTTATAGAATCGACTAGCAATTTTTTGTATTCTTATTTAATTCATTAGTTTTCGTGGTCAATAGATTGACCCGACAATGGGAAAAAACTGGTAATGACTTGTTGGCCTCTTTAGCCTTTTAGGATATTATAGGCGTGGATAATAAGGAAAAAAGGAGCGGTAAATTGCTGAAGAATTAGACTATGTAGAAATACTTGATGTGTGGAATTTAATGATTGTTTTATATGTTATATTATATGTTTTGTATGTTATATGTAGTATGTTATTGCTATCGAATTGATTAATGATATTAGCGTAGCTGCGAATGAGTTTACACGTGTCTGTTCTGTAATTAATGGTGTACTTATCTCTGTTGATGTAAACAATTGCTAAAAAGTTTCGTTTATTTTTGTTTTGTTCTGAGTGTAATATTTTTGGATAGTTGGAGTCAACATTGTGTCGGTGTTCAAAATGGTGGGTAGCCAGTGCTGTAGGATTTCGTTTTGGTTTTTTGCAATCATTGATATGTTGGTTTACACCGTTATCCAGATATTGGGATGTAATTCCGATGTAAGCTGCTTGACAGTTTAAAAAATTGATTTTGTAAATTATATCAGTCTTATTTGTTTCTGTTGTCGGATCTTTAATTTCTGGATTTGTATTTACTTCCTTCCCCACAAAAAACATTAATATTTCACTGGCAATCTCAACACAACTATCTATCAAAGCAATCACACTACCAAATAAACATGCTCTTTGAGTAAATAAAAATACTTTGAATCTAAAGTTTCTATAATTTTATAAATTCATTTTTTCACATGTTGCATATTTGCATAATTTAAACAATGTTTATAATTCCCAGGCTCTGAAGATGATTACAATAAAGATCGAAACGTTGGCACGATAAAGGAAATGTTTTCTAAGCCCACATCACTCCAGACCGCATCTCACGATCTCCAATTAATCATTCATTAACGGCCACTATAAATCACACATTAATAATTTACAATTGAAATTAAAATAGTTTTTGTTTTTAGTAGCTTTTAATGTCCATTGTAAAGGAAAGTGTATTTAAAGGGAAAATAATTGAATAATTTTGGTCGAAGTTTCTATGATTGGGTAATTGCATGGATAAAAATGGATTAAATTAAAAATAACTCAATAGTTTCAATAAATAAACATGATTTTAAGATCAACCTCAAAATGATTTGATTTAACAAATTTAAATTACCGTGAGGTTTTCAATGTATAAACTGTATATATAAATTGTTTAAATTGAAAATATCGGTTTTGGCGCTTAATGGAATGAAACTTGCAACCTGGGGATGTGCTCGGTTGAGTGACGTGCGGGGAAACAGTGACAATCAATAATCCGGAGAGTGAAATGTATTATTCACCAAGTCGTAAATTACATTCGAGTAAATTGTCAGAAGGTGGGGGCGGGTGTGCAGTGGATTTTATTGGAATTGCACGGATAAATAACGCGACTGAATCGAGACGCCGCGTCCGTCGACAAAGCGAAACCAGCTCGACCTTACGAATCATCTTCCGTCGGCTCTAATCTCGGCCGAATCATCAATTTCCGGGTTAATCCTTAATTTACGATTCTTCCCGGGTTCCACCTGTACGATTTGAAAAATGATCCGAGTCCAACGGCGCTTTTAGCCGGATTTATTTATGAATTTGAGATTGCGTCCGCCTTCAACGGTGTTCAATTTGCATGGCAAACGAGCCTCCATTCATTGCACTTAACTCATGATAAACGCACTACCTAAAATTGCCTCATGCGAATATAAGATTTGTAAACTTCAACTGCTGACTTCCTCAGAAAACATTTTAATTCATTCTAAGTTGTACAATGGATAAATATTATTTCAACAATTAGTTCTAAATGAAAGTTTTAAACCGCATATTTAATTAATAGACTGAAGATTACGTCTGCATAAATTATTCCGAACAAACTAAGTTATTTTATATTAAAATAGATCAGCGATAAATAAAGTTGGAAGGAAACTCCGTTGCTTCGTCAAGTTGTTCAAAATAACTTTGAAATTATAATTACTAATTTAAAGATCACAAACTACGCTTATAATGAAATTTCATGTGAAATTCCCAAACCAAAAAAGAACAACATATGGTCTACTTCGTATAGGCCAATAAGTCTACTACCCATTTTGTGTAAAATTTTAGAAAACCAGCTATTGAAAATAAGTCATCCAATTTTATATGATTATTTGGATCATCGTGAGATTCGGTCTGGTGTATGTTTTAGAAAAACCTTTTCTGTATCACGCCAACGTTTCAATCTTTATTGAGATCATCTTCAGGGACACGGATTTATAAACATTGTTTACATTTTACAAATCCATGTAGGATGTGAAAAAATTGAAGTTCTTCTGACGAATTTAAAATATGTTTCAAAAACTACAAAACAGTTCACAAACTTTTTTCCAAAATTAAAGGATCTCACACCAGAAACACAAATCTGATTTAATTTACAAATTCAATTGTATAATTTGTCCGGCACCTTATATATTACATCCTGATATCTTGATAAGAGAATAAAGCAACGTATCTATGATTGCAATAATCCCAAAAAAATCCTACAGCACTGGCTTAGGACCCTTCCTTTCACGCTAATAAATTACTTTACTCTCTAGACGTCATACACTCACCCCAAAGTACTCGATATTCCTCGGGCCGGAATTAAATCGGCCCTTCCTTTCATGCTAATAAATTACGCTACCCACCATTTTGAACACCAACACAATTTTGGCTTCAACAATCCTAAAATATTGCGCGCAGAACGGAACTAACATAAACGTTACTTTTTAGAAATGGTTTACACCAACAGAGATAAACGCAACATCAATTACAGAACAGACACATGTAAACTTAGACGCAGCTATGCTAATATTATTAATCAAATTAAATATTGATTACATATTTATATCATACATCATCATATCACACAAAACATATAACATAACATATAAACCAATCATCACATTCCACACATCAAACATTTCTTCATAATATAATTCTTCAATAATTTGGCTTTCCTTTCCCTAATTATCCCTGCCTATATAATCCTGAAAGGATAACCAGACCGAAGCATTACTCATTCTTTCCCATTGTCGGCTCCGTTTACTCAAAAAAGGTACTATACATATAAAAATGTCTTTCTATCCCGTTCTATTCTATTTACAACAATGTTTATAAAGTCCAGGCCCTGAAGATGATCTCAGTAAAGATTGAAACGTTGGTCCGATAAAGAAAATGTTTTTCTAAAACGTACGTCACGCAAGACCGCATCTCACGATCTCAAAATACTCATTAACTAACGGTTACTAAACACCACCCAATTCTACATCCTCAAGATATAATCCCCGGCCATCAGCTCAACTGTCCAACAGTGCCATAGCGTGGAAGACGTTTTGTCCTCCTCCTTTGAAATGGGACGGTACTGTTCTGGGGGTCTTTCTTGACGTAAGTTAAACTTTGGATGGAGTTCCATGCCCCTACTATCTCATACTGCATAGTTACCTCATTGACCGGGTTTTCCAAGTAGTCGAAGGCCATTCCCTTTCTGCATATTTACCTACCCATGCTGGTGTTCCTCAGGATGGCGTTCTGGCCCCCGACCTACACCAAGATTTCACAGCTGACATTCCATTACATTTTCGAATCACCACACTCACATTTGCAGATGATACAGAAATTCTCTATTGCAACACCGATCCTGCCATTTTCGAAACATCCAACATCTCCTCACATTACTACAGTCTTGGTGTAAAAAGAAAAGGATTAAATTTAAAATAGACAAATCACCCACATTACCATCACACTCCGTAGAAAGATCTCCTCTCCACTCTACATAAATACTATCCCCCTTCCAACTATGTACATGGTGCGGTACCTCGGACTGTATATCAACAAACGCCGGACACACACACACACACACACACACCCACGACTGAATCGTCAGTCGCACACTAAACAGAGCTCTTACACGACTTCTTGACAAACGTTCTGGAAAAATAAAAGACTGCTGTACAACACCATAGTTAAACCGAAATGGATTTACAGACTAATGTGGGTTCAGCCAAACATTCCGAAATTTGACGCATTCAAACTGCTCAATCCTTAATCTTTATTTATTTATTGTACGTAAATATACTTTAAATGTTCTTAAATATTTTTAAAAGTAAATATACAGGCTTAAATATTCCTGTCGGTCAAAAGAAAATTTGTTACCACAAAGTTCACAAAACCGTTCCAACCACTGTAAATCGAACATCAGAAACCTCGCATCCTCACAAATTCCCTCAAACACTCCTCGTCGGCTGAAAAGAAAATGGCCGCGAGATCTCCTAGGAAATGATTGTAATCATAGTTGTCATAGTCAAAGAGATAAAGATACAAGTATTATTTAAACAGACAAAATTTTAGTGTCATTAGAATAATACCAATGAGTATTTTCTCCACTCTTTTTACTTTTGCACATATTTCCTTTCACTTGGAAACATGTTACCTACATGATGGTAGACTTCATGTACTACAAATTAAAAAAAAAGGAAATTATTGCTAAAATGATTATGGAATGGAAAGAAAATTTAATGTTTGATGTTTTTGACTAATACTATACCCTATAAATGAAGTGTGCGATGTACGTGACCATATGACTTAAGGAGTATTGGCACCAGTTAGATTCTGCTATAGAATTAGTGCGTGAGCGAGGAATAATAAGTTAGTGAGCGAATAAAGTTAGAAAATTAATAAGTACGTAGATGATTAACCACGAGTTATAAGCCGCCGGGTTTCTGTGGCCAATATTCCGCCGTCGAACATACCTTCTTCCTCTTGAGTGAAATTCGGAATACGTATCTGACTAGAAAGCACGATGTATGACCAAGTTCTTTGACCTCGAAAAGGCGTGTAGGACGTGTAGACTTGCCACATCTGAAAATTCAGTACGTCGGGGGCAAATTACTACATTTCCCGGAGGCTTTCCAGAGAAACTGGTGATTCTGAGCGCGAATAGAGGCCGTGCTCTCTGGGTACTTGGTTCAAAAGAACTGATTCTCTCATGGTTCTTTGATGAGTTTTACTCCTTTCTTTCAATAGGAGATGGTATCGTTGGCAGAGTTCGTTCAGGGTATCATTTTACATTTCGCGGAAAGACCTGACATATGACGCAGGAGTGACGCAAACAACTACGGCTGGAAGACACCTCATGTACGTTACATCCAGTTATGCATACTTAGGGAAAATGTTTTACCCATCCAAAGCACTAACAAACTAAGTCATCTAATGGAAAAGTTTTTTAATTGAACGTTCTGGTAATCCGTGTATTGTTTCTGAATTTGAAGAAGATAGATGCAGGATGCTTATAATAGATGAAAAGTAAGTAAGTAAGAAAGCAAAACTATGTGTAATAAATTGTGCTAATTTTCCCAGTCAGGTTATCTGGTCCACAGATACTGGCATATGTTACTGCATTAAATTTTATTCACATGTTTTGAAATTAAATAGTAAGCAGTGCTAGAGTGGTCGCCATGTGGTTTTACTTGTTGTAGCGTAACTGACCGAAATTTATTCCAAGAAAAATTAGGAAAAGTAGAAGAATAAAATTTTCTGAACACAGTGATGCACCCGAACCATACGACTCGAATAGAAAATCGTTCAAATAATTCCAGTGTAAAAGATACTGAAACGGTTCTCTTCCACTGCTATCTATGATCATTGACGAGCATACACCCCAGACGTAATCGCCGCAAATCAACGGACTCCCCGAATCACCTGGAAGCGCAGTGTCGCCGAACTTAACACCCAAAAGGCAGACCTCTCCAAAAGGAACCATATTATCTCTCCCAGGACCAAAATACCGCTCACATTTTTGCTCTTCCCACGGTTGAGCCATTGTCATTTTCAAGTATGGACTGCCCGCCGAAGCTATAATCGTATCATTTTCGATTCTGAAGTTTGTCGCACCCCACCCTGCAATTATGCAAGGTGCCTTCGAAGTCACCATCTCATCCCAAGCGTTTTTAAACTCTGTTTTGTCCTTGGAGTAAACTGAAAGTAGCTTTACAGTGTCAGTGATCTGTATGGGTGTCATAAGTTCGGCAGTAGCATAATCGTGCATAATCCCACCCGATGCTTTCTTTCTTATATCCTTGGGATACATTACTGATTTAAGTATCGCCGATTGACCGTCATCCCCCATGAAGCGTGTCGTACCAAAATATACTGTTCCTTTACTCGCTTCGTGCACATTTCTCTTGCCTTCTTTCCATCTCATGACACAATGGCCAGCAGTAACGATTTTGGTCACGGTTACTAAGGCGCATCCACACATTTTGTTATCACCTGGTGCAAGTATGTATGTCAAATGACCCATGAAAGGAAATTCTCCTCTTTTAGCTGCCCTACCTCCTTTAATTTTGCCATGATCTGAACTGATAACATTAGAAATTGTATGTATTAAAATGAACACAAAAATTTTGAAATATAATTTAGACATGTCAATGCAACTCAATGTAGCGAAATAAACATATGTTTATGATTTAATTTGCTTGTATTTGTTGTTAATGATAATCGTGTCATTAGGAGCTACTCGGAGAATCCGTAGAAATTTGGAAAACGGATGACTCTCCCGTCCTAAAATAGACTATAAACAGTTGACACGTGGACACTTAGTTTTGGGACAAAGCCAGCTTGTACCAGGCATGCATAAAACAGTTACCCTATGTGTACTAGGTTCTCCAAGTGAAGTTTGTCATTTCTTGACATTTTACCTGAGCGAAGAATTTAAGAAAGTAATATATTTTTATCATTTAATGAAAACGTGAGTGTGCGTAGATTAAAAGCTCGATGAATTAGTGGCTGAAATGTCCATATACACATGTCCGATATTTTCTTTGCAGTTTGAAAATTTAATAGAGATAAACAAAAATAATGAAAATAAAAGAGAATGAAACGAAATAATCTAATTGTATATTTTTTAAGACAACTTATAATGATCCCTATTTTTTATATAAAAAACAGAATGAAATCGAAAATAACAAAATTTACAATCCAAAAAGGAAAAGCCTCATCTCCGTGCCTGGGACTCCTACTAAAATTATTTCACTTAACTTTTTATTATTTACTTACGTCTATCTCTCACGCATTCTCCTCTCCTACCAGACTTCTCTCTTTGGACCCATCTTCTTTAAGGCCCGTGGCTCAGTACTACCAACCACTCTTGTGATTGGCCATATAATGGGTAGGTCTCAAACATTTTCAGAGTTTAGCCTATCCTTCTCGCAGTCCTCCACTGTTGCTTGTACTGTCGACAGATAGATCGATTCAGAATTCAACGCATGCTGTTCCTGGTACATACCTATTCACACTCATTATTCTTAAATACATTTCAAATACGTAACATTCACACAATTGGTGGTGGAGTATTTGATATTCCTTCATCAGTGTTTACCTATGGTTTAATCCGAATATAGGGTCGATGGGGTGCTGCCATAAGCCCTCTCACAGTAGCCCTCACGCTAATAAATTCATTCACCCTCAACACGTTGTAGGTTCTCAAAAATTATTACGGTATACAATAAAACAACATTGTTTCCTCCAAGAATCGCAACAGGGGACCTTGCTGACGTGCTGAAATTCTCAAATCGGGTAGTAACGTCACAAGCAACACAATTTGCTCCACAGTGTTTTTCTTAATTACAATTCGAAAAAAGAAAAAATATGACAATATCTGCTCTTTGATTCTTGAAATTGGGGCCAGTCAAAGAAAAAACAAAGACTTGATGAATAAATTGAATTCTTTAGTTCCTGAATATTTTAACCTCTGTCAGTAAATTTTTCCTCCTTCATATTTTTCTATCTTCGTAATTCACTGTTTTATTTTACTATTTACATTTCCCAATCTAAATTTCTCATTTTATTTTTTTGTCTCACTCATTCTCTTTGCATAAATAAAAGTGTTGGGGTCAATCTGGTATTATTTAATTTTTCGTCTGTTTTTAAACGGTTATTTTTCATTTAACAATTTGCTAAAAACTAGAGTGGATTTATAATCTATGTATAATAATATTAAGGTAGTTTTAAGTAGTGTCTAAGCAGGTGCGATCGGCCGTAGGAGTTTTTGATAAATCGGCGCGGAGAGTGGGAAGACAAGCGCGAATCAGTGCGACGTGTTGAGAACGAGCGTGCGGGCCTGCAGAAGCATTCTTTTCCTTCTGCCCAATTTTTGGCGTCTACTCTCCATCGCTTCTTCGAGGCTGGGAGCCGCATTGTACGTCTGTGCCAACGCACTTTACGAGTTACTTCGCGTACCCATCTGGGAACTGAGAGTCAAGAATCTACAAACTTCGTGGATCAGCATCATCATCTCTTCATTCCAGCACCCAGCTCCATCTTTTCCATTTCCAGCCACCTTGCAGCATCTTGGATACTAACATTCGGTCAGATTATTCCTTTTTATTGTATATCTATTAGTTACATTAATATCCTCTTTTAGTTTTACATTATTAATTTTATTACCATAATTGACCTGTTTTATTGCATGCAATACTAATTGTTCTCATGTGAATTTATCGTATCTGTATATGTTTATATATTTTTAATTACAATTTGTATTAACACTATAACTCATTTTATAAACTCAATCCTGCTCTCGTAATTAGCAAATTCTTGAATCAATATTATATAAATATTAATATAATTAGCAAATTATATTAATACATTTCAGGAATTGGTTTGTTTGAAGACATCAAACCCCTTCCATCAGTGTGAGGGGGTCATTCGTGGAAAACCAGTAAAAATACATTAGAGTTGGTGATGTCCTAAATCTTGTGGAGCCCTGATTCAAACAAAAAGGTTAATCAGAAATTAATCCATATTTGCTTAGGTGTCATAACTGACAATATTGATTATTCGAGTTAATAAGATGACTACGATCACTGGTCTAACCAACTGAGCTACCGTGATTTCATCAGAAGATTTCACAAGTCGGGAAGGTTGTGGGTTTCACCTCAACCTTGCATAAAATGAATAATTAATTAGAGTTATTCAGAAACAAAATAGGTCTTTAAATGATAACTAGGTTGAATTAAATACAAAATGTACACATAAAATAGATATTACGCCAGAGGGTAAGATAGCGTGAAGATATTTCAATCAGGGAGTGAGTGGGAAGAGAGAGAGAGAAAGAGTGAGAGAGTGAGGAGGGAGAGAGAGAAAGACCGACAGACAGATAGACAGAGAGAGAAGTTGAAGAGAAGGAGTGATTGGGTCAAATACAATAATTTTATTTTTAAACGGCGTAGCTATTATGTTAAACCCACATGACTAGTAGGTCTTTCAACATAAAGTACTGTGAACCGTGAAGTATAAGCAATAATAAAATCAAAATCATTATCACTCAATCCTTCTCTCTTCATATAAGACACATAATAAATGAAAGTTAAGGTATAGATGAAAGATAGCTAATTTTGATGACAAGTATAGAAGACCAAATGAATTTTCCCATAAATATTGTTAGAAAACAGATCAATACATATAGTGCTCTTTAAACATAGGCTAAGATATTTTATGCTGATAATGTCAATCTAATGGTTTTTAATGGTGAAAACTGAATTAAAATCTCTCTTCTAAGAGGGTTTCACGCAAATGATGAACCATAGAAAAACACACGTTTTCAGTCAGCGGTTCGCCCTACAGATAAAAAAAAACTGTAGAGCTGTAGGTTTTTTACAATTCAATCTTGTTAAAATGATAAAAATATAATCCTACGGATTAATAAAGGCTTCGGGTCAAATTCTCCAGACTGTCCAATTACTTTCCGTTCAATTAGCTGTCATATTTTTTCTTTGTCAATTCCACCCAGAAAATCGTTGTACAGTTTTTCTCTGCGTTTAATTTTTAAGATAGAAGATAATAGGTCATTCGATAATAACGAAGGTTGTTCGGAAGTAATCTAACAAAAGGGACAATATGTTGAGTCTGGTATAAAGCATGATAATCACCGCAATACGACGAACGGGCCTGGTTTTTGGTTGAATTCTGTTGTATAACTCGGCTGTGTCAAAAATATATATCCGCTCCCTATCCGGAGCCGGATTCTTCTTTGGTTTGTCGGAGATAAACATAATGGCCGTTAAATCACGGATAGGCTTTATAACGATAGCCGTGCCACGCACAACCCCTTGTATTATGTATGACTAACAAATATTTTTCCGTGATAAGAGATCCAGCGTCAAGGTGAATTATTCAAGGTATATACATGTATTAACATATATATGTGAAATGTGTCCGTCACTAGGAAAAAAAACTCGGATAAAAATAGCAGCTTGTACACAATAGACAATGTATTATTACTCCATTAAAAACAATAATTTAATTTAAAAAATATTACTATAAACAATTTAAATTTTATTAAAATTTAATACAAAATCATACCTAAACTTGTTACTGATTCGTCTTTGACCACTATATACATATANTGACTCACTTCCTTTTTTTAATGTTAAAATCAAAAGAAATTGGCCTTGAGTCAGATTTAAACGCACCCGCGTTGATTTTCCAATGGTGCGTCAAAAAATGACTCACCCTGTATATATATATATATATATATATAAAACCAAAGATGCACTATGGACGGTCAAAAGAGTAGAATTTAGTGTACATTTTTTGTTCTTTTTTTTTACGAGGGTTCGCAACAGCAGAGGTTATATCTACCCTCGGGGTGTCGGTGTTTTAGAAAAAATCCCATTTGTGAGTATGTCGGGTTCGAATGTAGGGCCACTGGATTCGAACCCGGGACCCTTATCTTACAGGGATGAGCGCCGTGTCAACGCCTAAACCGTTGCGGCCACCGACGCCCCCTAATAGTGTATATTAACACTCAAACTTGTGAAAAATGTACTTTTATTACAAGTTCTTTTGCACGCTCTATCAATCAGAGGGAAATCATTCAATAAAACCTCAAACTATCGTCTATAATTAATACGCCCATTCGTACTGACCCTATATTAATATCTAATCTAAGTTCGATAATTAATTAATAACTTACTATTAACACGCTTACTCGCTAACTTACATGTTTGTCACATTAGCTGTCTTAATTTCCAATTCATTTAAGTACACGGCGTTTATCTCACTCATTATTAATTCATTTTTAAAGAATTAAAATTCCCATTAATTGACTGAGTAATTACATGTAATATAATTTCGTTTATTATACCAAACATTTATTAACTGGCTTATTCACAACGTTAGAATTATTTATGATTTCGTTAATTATTAACTAACACTCTTATCAACTCTGCTACTCAATGACAAATTAACTCACTATAC